TCTTTTTCCTACATATTGCCTTGTAAATCCCTTCATCGTCGTTGTCGGTTACACAACAAAAGTCCAGACGTTTTTTCTCATGTTCTTTCGTTCTTATGCTTATATCACAAGGTTAATTGTCAAATAACATAGTCGCATGTGTTTGTCTGTGTTGTCGACGCGACGAGTTGTTCTTCATAGAGGTTTTTGGTTGTCGCTTAGAACGAAAAGAGATAGAAATAAAAGACAAGAGAGAAAAAACGGAAAGGAGAAAGAGAAAATATTTTTGCTACTGCCTCTCTGCTAGCATTCGATTCTCGTCGGCTTTTAGTTGAAAGGAGAACGCAAAGAAGAGAAAAACAGCAGAAGGAGAAAGGGTCTTAACGCCTAGGCGTATTGGCCATCGATCGACTGACCAACATACTGACATTGAAATCGAGTAAGTTTATCATAAAAAAATAAATATGTTATTTTATTTTTGGATTAAAATCTTAAGAATACAATAGAGTTTCAAATTTGTTTTTAAATTATTCTAGATCGTCCATCATCAAATAACAACAAAGAATGAGTGATAAAATTCTCAAGATTGTTGGTCGTTATATATATGATAGTCGTGGTAATCCGACTGTCGAAGTCGATCTTTGGACAAGCAAAGGTATTAAAAAAAAATACATCTTTTCTTTTTTTAAAAAGAGGACAAACAAAAAAAAAAGGAAAAAAAGAATTTTCTTTTTTTGTCTCTTCTATATAAATAAAAAACTTATTTGACAAAACAAAACAAAACCTTAATCTTTATTGTGTAATATATTACATCAGTATCAAAATAAGTATTTATTTTTATTGTATTATATTGAAAAAAACATTAGTTTAAAATGAAACAAGTCTTTTCATCAAAATGAAATCTTATTTAATATAAGAAGGAAATAATTAAAAGAAAAACAAGTAAAACAATTCAGTATTTCGAGAAATAAAAATAAAGTCAAAATATTCTCTTAAATGACCTTGAAAGCAAATACTAAACGTGTAATGATTTTAGTTCTATGCTTTTGTTGTCCTTTTCATTTCGTTCGAACGATTTGAACATATAAAAAGAACAACGTGTATAAATCCGATATTTTCGAATGAATTATCTATTAATAAAATTGAATTTAAATGTTCTGTAATTAAAATTGATGTATTATTATTTCTAGGCCTTTTTCGTGCTGATGTTCCATCTGGTGCTTCAACTGGTATTCATGAAGCTCTTGAATTACGTGATGGAGATAAAAATGTTCATCATGGAAAAGGTAAACGAAATCATATGATAATTATAAATAAATCTTAATGATAATTAATCTAGGTGTTGAAAAAGCTGTAGCTAATGTCCAAACATTGGGAAAATTGATTATTGAGGTTTGTTAATAATTTAAGGTTTGATTCATTTTATAAACAAATTATTTTACTTATTTAGAAAGGTTTTGATGCAACTCAACAAAAAGAAATCGATGAGTTTTTACTTCAACAAGATGGAACAGAAAGCAAAAGTAAAATAATTTTATTTCTTCAATTATATAATCATATTTATTATCTAGAAAAATATGGTGCCAATGCTATTCTTGGTATTTCAATTGCTGTCTGCAAAGCTGGGTGAATTTGCCTTTTTTTCAATATGAATTATTATTCTTAATTTTTTTTCTAGAGCGGCACATAGTAATTTACCTTTATATCAATACATTGCAAAACTTTCCAATGGAACTATTCGTTTACCCGTACCTGCTTTCAATGTAATATAAATTAAGATTTTTTAAATTTAAAATTTTTTTATTCTTCTTTAATATTCTTAGGTTATCAATGGTGGTAGTCATGCTGGCAATAAATTAGCCATGCAAGAATTTATGCTTTTACCAATTGGAGCTAAAACATTTAAAGAAGCTATGCGTATGGGTTCAGAAGTTTACCATCACTTAAAGAATTTGTATGATAGATTTTCTTTTAAATTATTTAAAGTATTTAAAAAAAATATTATTTTTGTAAAGAGTTAAAGCTGAATATGGTCTTGATGCAACTAATGTTGGTGATGAAGGTGGTTTTGCACCGAATATTGAAAGTGCTGAAAAAGGTAAATCAAATATGTAATAAAAAGATATAAGTTGGTTTTTTTTTGTTACGAATAATTTTAGCACTTGATATTCTTGTTAAAGCTATTGATAAAGCTGGTTATACAGGTAAAATTAAAATTGGTATGGATGTAGCAGCAAGTGAATTTTATGATGAAGAAGGAAAAAAATATGATTTAAATAATAAAGAAAAAGGTCGACCACATTATGTAATTATCTTAGAAAAATAATTCAAAAAATGTAAAAAAAAAATTTTATTTGTTTAACCTTTAGTTAACAAGTGAAGAAATGGTTGCATATTATCTTAAACAAATTCAACAATATCCAATAATATCAATTGAAGATGCTTTTGAACAAGATGATTGGAATGGTTTTCAAACGCTTCTTAATGCTGTTAAAGGTCGTGGTGTACAACTTGTCGGGTATATATTCATCTTAAAATAAAAATTCATAATAAATGTTTTCTTTTTCAAGTGATGATCTCACGGTAACAAATGTAAAACGAATTCAATTAGCTATTGAGAAGAATGCATGTGATTGTCTTCTACTCAAAGTCAATCAAATTGGTTCGGTTACTGAAGCTATTGCGGCGTAAGTCGAGTTTTTGATTATTATCAAATTTCATCTATACAAATGTTTATATTTCTAGATGCACCATGGCTCGTGGTGCCGGCTGGGATGTAATGGTTAGCCATCGCAGTGGTGAAACTGAAGACACATTCATAGCTGATCTTGTCGTAGGCTTAGGCACCGGACAGGTTTGATTTAATGCCCTGATTTATTTATTTATTTAATCTATTTTGTTTTTTTTTTGAATAAAATAGATCAAAACTGGTGCACCATGTCGTTCGGAACGTTTGGCTAAGTACAATCAATTATTACGTATTGAAGAAGAGCTTGGTAATAATGCCATATATGCAGGCAAAGATGCTTTCAAAAAAAACTAGTCGATCAATATTAAAATTTCTTCGTAGTTCAACAAAAATAGAATTGTATCATCAAAATTTAATTAGGCTAAATCCTCACTCATTCACTTTCATTAAATATTTACAGCAGTCTTGTTTCTTTTCTCTTTGATTCTTTCTTTATTTAATCACCTTGTTTTTTTTTCTATTCTACTTTTGGTGTGATGTTCGTCTATCTGTCGTTATATTTTCTCTATTTCACTGATTTTTGAAAAAACGGGCAAGAGTGTACTTCCCGGTGTTTGGCTGTACAGAGCGATCAGAGACAACACACACATTCACACACACTTACTTCAATTCTTTTTCATCTGTTCCTACAGAAATCTTTTTTCCTTGGTTATTATTCGATTCTATTCTTTTTTTTGTTTCTTCAACAAACGTAGATCTATGCTTATGTCTATCATCTTTTTCTTTCTTGTTCTGTTAAGTTCAATTATTTACCCACGCGTGCTTATGTTCTAATATATTGTCTTTTGATAAATGCCTTGAGAACTCGTATATATTTTATTGATTTATGAACATTGAGGAAGATCTTAGAATTTATTAGAATGATATATTTTTTGTTTGTTGTCTAAATTTCTGATGATCGATAATTGAATTTACGAAGAAAAATTTTTGTTGTGTTTTTTTTTCATCATATTGGCGCTTTGATTGTTCTAAATTCTAATTTAAATTTTATGATCCTTAAGTTTGTTGTTGTTACTGCTAATACTCATAAAATTACTTGGCAGTATTCTTCAAATCTTCAGTTAATTTTAATAATATCCTATTTCAATGAATAATTCAATTGTCTAAATATCATATTGTCAATTATTTCAAGGAAACATAACACAAAAAACAGATGTCGATTGATAATAATAAATTATGGAAAACAGAAATAATTACACCAATATCAAGTATCCAAAATATTAATCATACAGGTGCTCGAGGTGATTGTGTTGATTTACCGATAATGTCAATGATTTCTAATAGAACTATATGTAATACTATTGATAATAAAGATGAACATTTAATATCTTCAGTTAATTTTGAAAATAAAACAGATGATTATTTTCGATCAAAGTTAGCTAGTGGTGAACCAGAACAGCATCAACTAGGTGTTTCGACATCATCAGCTACGTTTATTGTATCATCATCACCTCCATTAGATATGACCGTACAAGATGATGATCATAATATTCAAAATATGATTCATTCAACTGCTAATATGGAGTTATTTACACATGAGAGAGTATCTAATAATCATCAACAACTATTAGGGATTAAACAATATTGGATATTAGTAACTATTATTACTGGAATATTCATGATTTTTATAACCATCGTTACTATTAGTATCATTTATTGATAATCTTTTTGTTTCTATTTTTTTTTACTCTGCAAATAAACATTTACGAGATATTCTCATCTTAGAGAATGATTTTCTTCATGGTAGTTAGATTTATCGAATAGTAGAAATTAGTTTTATTTCTATTGTTTTGAATAAATTTTTAAATTTTATTCATTGATGAACATTCAAAATAACTTCTTAGAACAAGATATTATTTTACTCATTACTAAACTTAATTCGGTTGTCTCATTCTGAACGTTTCAGAATGATTATCATCAACAAATGTCAATATGTCTTATTCAGTGATTCTCACATGTTTATGTGTCAAATATTTTTACCTTGTCTAATAAAACAACATAATATTGTCTTATTGATTCCATTTATTTTATCAACAATAACATCAATCAATGATTACAATGGTTTACTTTATTTTTTTAAAGTAACTGTTGCCACTAGCTTAATGCTATTTGTTGCACAGAAACATATTTTGAATAAAATTATGCGTCGCAATGTTAAAATCGAGAAAAGGAAAAGAAAGGAAAAAAAGAAATGAACACTGGTCCTTTTTTTATTTGATGAATTGATTCAATTCAAAAGACGACAATCGACAAGTTCGAGAAGAAATAAACTATGGCAAATGTGCTTCATCTATCGAAATTAAGTCGTGGTCATGTTGAATTATCTGAAAATGGCTCTCGTTTAGAAATCTATGCTGATCAAAATGTATGTATTTATTTTATTTATTAGAGAAACCGTATCAACTGTTTGAAACGTATGTTTATATGTAAATTAGGAAAAGCCACTTATTCACACTTCAGAAACTAATCAACTTCCTCATATACCAAAAACATATTCAACAAAGTAATAGAAATGTTTAAATTAGATATGTAAGAAAAACGATTGATATTCTTTATAGACGTGGTCCTCTTGTTCTATTTGCTGAAACTGGTTTTTTTAAACATTCAAGATCAAAAGCTCATCGAGATAAAAGAATTCTTCATCAAGATTTTAATTCACCTTCTTTATTAAGTCCACCACCACTTAAATTAGGTGAACTAAAACGAAGTATTTTAGCTTATGGTGGAACTCCAGAGGTATAATTAAAATTCTTCATATACAATACAAAAATATAAGAAAAAAATCAAATTAATTTTTATCTATATTTTAGAATCAACTAGCTGGTGGTGTTGTTGATGAAGATGGTACATATATAAATATGAAAATACCATCAAAAAAACGTCCTCACCCATCAAAATATGCTGGTATCAGTTCACATGTTGCTATTAAACGACGATATATGATTGCTAGTAGTGAAGATAAAAGACGAGATCTTGATTGTAAGAAGATTATATTTATAAATATTCAAAAGATTTTTTTAAATTAAAATATCATTAGCTATTCTCGAATTGGAATATTCAACTTCACGTAATCAACGTTATTCAATGATGAAAACACATATTCTTAGTGATGAAATTTCTCTTCTTCCTCCTGTTTGTATATGACTATTATGATTTCTTTTTTAAAGTTTACTTTTTCTAATTAGGTTTATAGAAATCCAGATATTGTTCAACATTCTCCATTCTTTTTAGCAGATGCCTATCGATTTTTTCAAATTGAAAATAGTATTTCTTCGAATGGTTTGTTTCCTGTTTTTGCTTTATTTTCCATAATATAATTTTTTCGATTTAGATGATGACAATACAGAACAAGTGAATTCTGAAACACAAAATGCATTAGAAGTATATCAATACATAAAAAAAAACAAAAAAAATATTTCTAAAATTATTCTTAATATAGATTGTTGATTCAAAAGGAAGTCAGTTATCTTATGAAGCATTAGAACAATCGGAAAAAGAAAAAGTGCTTGCTGATTTACTTATACAAACAGCTTTACATAATATTGCTGAACAACAAAATATTGTAACTTTAAGTGCTAATTTATTTTAAAATATTTCTCGTCTTTATATAGGAAATATTTGAAGATGCACTTAATCGTGTACGAGATTCAGATATAAGTCAAAGTTTTTCAACAATGGATATTCCAACACTTGTTGACGAAAGTAGCCTTACAGCTTTTCCATCCGATACAGTCAATAATCATCATCAAGTAAAATAATAAATAGTTGAAAATTCTTCTGTAAAAAATTTCATTAGCATTTTAAATCTGCTCCAACTGCCAATGAATCACTAGCACAACAACATTATATGTTTGGTAAAATGCAAGGAAGTAAATGGGCCCGAAATCGACCATCGCATTCGAATAGTTATTGAATTTGATTTCATAATATTTTATATAATTTTCTTTATTTTTTTTTAGCGTTACCAACCAAATCAAAATATCAAACAAATAACAGTGAACAACAAAATGATGCGACAAATAGTGATGAATTTAATAATGAATATACTCGAACAACAAGTGATATTGTTCATTCAAAACGTAAAATGATATTATTTTTATTGAAATAAAAATCTTTGTTGTTTTTATCTTGCAGTTATTCGTGCATCTCGACTGTTAGCACCCTTATCGACTTCTGCTCATCAAGAATCTTCAACAGCACGAAATCAATCACATACAGCAACAAAATTATCTACAAAATTACGAAAACCTCATGATATTGATTCTAATCAACATAAAATATCAACAAAACTAACACGTAAATATGAAAATCATACACAATTACAACATCTTTCATCACCTGTAGAATTACAACAAGATAAATTAACAGCAACAAATCAATTAAGTAAATAATTAATATAAAAAGATAAAATAAACTATATTATAAATTTAAATTAAATAATAGTTGAAAAAGAACAATCTTTAACAAATTTATTATATCGTCAACGTTCATCGAAAAGTTCAAAATTAAATCCATCAAGACAAGGAACAGGAAAAACATTTGCTACAGGCCGATGTGTTACATCACCATTGAGTATACATGGTAAACAAAAACCAAAAAACGAAGATCAGAATTTTATATTCACTGATATATTTGTAGAAGAAGCAGAAAGACTTTTAGCTATTGATTCATATAGAGAAGAAGATGATGAAGTTGAAGATAAAAATGAGAGTACACGAACATCAATTGTCGACGTGGCTGAAGATGCACTTGTTCGTAACGCATCACACTCACCTGGAACAAAGACAGATGAAGAACATGGTATTAAATTAATTTTTAAATAAAAATTCATATTAGTTTTCTTTTAACTAGATCAACATGTTCATCCATCAGAAATGAATTTAACAGAAAATTCTATAATACCACCTGGTTTGCTTGATAATCTTTATTTTAAGCTGATAAACTATATTTATTTTACTAATAGAAGTAACTTTAAAGCGATCTGCCTATACACATCGATCTCATGGAACAATAAAGTCAAAAAATTCATCAGCAGTTCCTCCAGGAGCATTATTAATTGCACCTGATGGTGAAGTTCTTTTCGTCGGTGGATCATCTGGACAACCAGATAGTAAGATCATATACTAAAAAATAAGATTTTCAAACATAATTTATTTCAAATAACAGATGATTATGACGATTATTTGTCCAAACATGAACCATTTTCTCATCAACCTTTAACAGCTTCTCTGGTAGTAGAAAATAATGATCAACAAAGTATATCAGTTGCACCTTGTGTACCAATGGTTCTTGGAACAAAACGTGAACGATTACCTGATGAAACAGTAATACGACGAAGTAAGATTAAATATTTGAATTTAAAACAATTCGATTTAAATATATATTCTTTTAGCTTTAAATTTAACTGGTGGTGATTTTGATAGTCAAATTGGTTTGCAATCATGGAGCTATGAAGTACCTCTAGAAAAACGACGAATAGTATCAAAATCTTATACATTAATTCCTCCTCCACCACCTATAGGACTTTCAGCATTTACTGGACGTAAACGTAAATATTTACAACTAGAATTTAAAATGAAAATAACAATATTCATCTTAGATCATCAACAAAAACGAATTGCTCAAGAAATACATGATCATGGTTAATATAAATAGATTAATTGTATTTTTAAGTTCATCATTCATTTTTATTTTAGCTATGCTTCACTCAACATTATCTATGCATAGTGAAGCAATTCAACAACAACGTGTTCCAATTCATCCAAATAATAAAACTCGACCAATTGCTGAAACGCGTATGTTATTATTTTAAATAGGAGTTTTTTTGTTGAGGAACTCACATATATTTTCGAAGAAAATAATGAATATAAGGTTTAGGTCGAAGTTTTTCGGCTATTTTTCTCCTCATATTTCAAACTTTAGTCACTGAGGACAACAGATGTTAGACTGTATTCTCAGAGTTCCTTAGTGACAGAAAAAGATGGTGAACGGTATTATAGACAAGACTTAGACATTTTCAAAATTTTGCAAAGCACGTCTTAATATTCGAATGATTGGAATATTTTTGCATATTTTCTAAATAGTGTATATTATTATTTTTGCCCTGTTAAACATTTATATTTAAGATATCAAGAATGATGGATTGTTGTGTAATTTGATCTATTTAGAACTTTAGGAATTAATCAATATCAGTGTTTGTTATCTAATCAAGATGTACAATAGTACAATGAGAGATTTGCTGTTAGAGCCCATCGAGTTCAAAATTTTCGGATCTCGGTCTGGTCTATTGAACATTTCTTGGACCAATTTAGAGAGTTCTGTCTGCACTAGAAATAATAAATATGTGCAACAGGTTTATTCGTCAGTAAAATCAATGTTTAGAATACTTATAATAATAAATTAAGAAAAGCAGAATACGAAAATGAAAAAAACAATGAGCGAATAGCAGCACCAAAAAAAAGATTGTATTCAAAATGTAGAACTGAATAAATATATCATTTCTCTAGCGATTGATAATTCCTAGGAAAATAACTATAGTCTGTTAGAGATTTTTCACTTGAAATAGTTTGCAATAGTCATATAATGAGGTTAAGAACACATGTGAATCTCACGTTTTAATCTCTAAAGGGGCTGCTATAACAAACATTTCTTTTCAATTTAAAAAATTTATTTTAAAATAGAATCACCCCTTCTTGCATTTACATCTTGGGCATATCAACGACCACCGACACCACCAATGATCAAACGACCTTATTTATACAAACCAGACTATCGACCGTCGGGTGTACATGGACATAAACGTATGTTATTATTTAAATATTGAAATCCATAAAAAAGATTTTATTTAGATCCAATCGGTGATACAGAAACAATGATTCGACGAAGTATTGATAATCAATAATATTTATTTATTTTCTTATTTTTTTCTATTTGATTCTTGTTGGTAGCTATCAACATACATGCTGGCGATATAGATGCGTCATTAAGTTTTACAATTTGGGTTTATGATATGTGGATAAATGATCTAGTAAAAAGTGGTGCTGATCCACATTACATAAAACAAGTTAAAAGTCTTTTTGATTTATTTAAACAACGAAGATGTATAAAATTTAATATAAAAAAATATTCGTTTTTATTAATTTAAATTTTTTGTTGTTTGTTGTTTGTTTTAGTAAGTAAAGTCGATTTACAAGATAAAGAGTTTCTTACAGCACTTGCCAATCATGCACAAGCATTAGCTAAAATTATTTTAAAACGTTCTGATTCTGGATATCATCTTGCGGAAGATGCACAGGTATATATTAAAACATATTAGTGTTCAAACGAATATTTATACCCAATATCGGATTGAAGGACATGAGTGAGTCTCCCGATCACTGTCGTATCTGAATTCTTATTGGCGAACTTATGCTGTATAATGACATCTCAATAAATATCATCATCAACTTCACGCATTAAAAATTATTTAATCAACTGATTTTGTTTGATCTCAGTTCATCAATTAGAATCTGAATACGACATAGATCTACAAACAAATTGGAGTTTTACCCTCATTTTATCACTCAATCCGATATCAAACGCGTTCGATCTCAGATCCGACATTGAACTTAAAAGCTCAGTTCTGATACTAACATATAAATTTATTCTAAATGATAAACTAAATATTTTTAAATTTCTTTTGATTCTAAACTTGCCACTATGATCAAAAAAATTAATTAGATTGAATGCTTTTGTATTAATGATTGATTTACCTGTTGAAAAACTTCTTGATTTTGATATATAGAATTAGAGATATGCAATTTCAGTAAACTATTCACCAAAAATTCACACAGACTAAACTAGATCGGTATGCACTGATCTATTCGGCATATTCATACTATATGGATGTGTCAGTGCTTCAGTGAACACCAAACCAGTGTAGTCAGTAGACTCATTGTCCGTATTATAACCAAAACTGCGCATTTCTATGCAAGACATTTCAATTGGTTTCTCTCTCTTGTGAAGCACAATCTAAAAGAGAGTATTGAAGTATAGGAGTCGAAATTTGCATTCATCCCTTCGCCACAGACTGTGAAAGACGTAAGAATGTTTCGTTATAATATATGAATTTCTTCCTTATTGGATTTCTGAAAGATTGAATAAAAGAATAATGAAGAAATGTGTCCAAAGTATGGATAGAATAAAATAGTCTCATTATGATTAACAATAGTAGCTACACTGTGTTTCATATTTTAATCGTGTATCGATTGTGTTAACAACTTTTCTTTTTTTAGTTGGCAATTATTGAAAATTTACGTAATTTAAAATATCTTCTTGATCAACGACTGGCAAGTGTGTCTGATCATGAATATCGAGAAATTCTTCGTGAAACACTTCAACATGTTTGTAAGAAACAACAATCAAAAAGAAAAAAAAAAATTTTTTCCTTTGAAAAATGTATTTCATTTAGTACTTAAAGGAAACTTAGAAAATTTACAAATTACTGATGATATTCTTATGGCACTTATGGATTATCCAATAGAAGCATTTGAAATATATTTAGATCCTGATACAGGTGATGAATATATTCGTATAAAAAGTGCATATCAAACAATAAAAAATAAAATAAAACCAAAGAGAACAAAGAAAAAAACAAAAAGTAATATATATGTATATTCATTAGATACTCATTTCTCCCTTGGAAATATACTTTTTTTCTATTTTTCATCCGTTTTCAATTAAAAATTTCATGAGATGTTAATCTCGACTAGAATATATTATGGGTAAAATATCTTCCCCTAATCTACAAGATGATGACGAGTTATACTCAATTCATTAGCGAATAGAATCCTTACACGGAAAAAGTTTTCAAAACATGAATACGAGCTAAAATGTCGCGATAGATTTTATATTGTAGAATACACTCAGGGCTTGATTATAATAGAGCCAGATTTTTTACTTTCTCTTTGTTTATATTTGATAGAAAAGATTTTTCGAAAAATTCTTAAATTCATAGGCAACAAAAATCGCTAATTTAAATCAAAGATCTAAGCTTTTTATTTATACAGAAGAGAAATTCAAAAATTCAGCCTCACTATATTCTAGCCCTATTATTTGCTCTGGATTCGAGTGAGGGCGCAGTCTCTATTCTATTCACAGTCACTATTCACACTTAGACGCGCACGTATACCCATACCCAACGTATGTGTAAATCTCGTAAAATTGATTTTTCCGGGGAGGCCCTTAAAAATACACTTTATTCGAAAAAGAATTTGCATTAATATATATTTTTTTTGTTGTTGATTAGCTGTAATTATTTCTGAAGAAATATCACCTGATGATTTTGAACGAGTTATTGATGAAAAAACTGGTACATATGTCTATCGATTAAAAAAATCTATTGCCGAACAAAAAGGTTTTATGGATTTAATTGGAACAAATTTTGATATAATAACAGATAAAAATACTGGCGAACGAATAATAAAAATCAAAAATTTACCAAACGATATTAATTTTAAAGGTAAGAATAATTTTATTTTTCAAAAAAAGGAGAAACATTTTCATATGAATTTAATGGTGTAAGTAGGACTGATTTTTCATTTATTTGTTTATTAATATCATTACGTATACGTCGATGAAATTCATTTCGATGTTCTTTATATAATAAAGCAGCTTCAGGATTCGCTGGACTATTTATATTTGGTTCATTTAATAAACTACGAATTGATATTAAAATTTTTTCTATACTCATTACTTGACTCCATTGATTTTGTAATATATCAATACATATATCACCATTTTTATATATATTTGGATGAAATACTTCAGTTTTAAAACGTACTCTGGGTGGTTTAACTGGATAATCACATGGTATTGAAATATATAATTCATAAATACCACCTTCATAAGGTGTATCATCAGGCCCTGTTATGATAGCTTGCCATTCGAATAGATTTGATTCATTTAATGGTGTTGCTGTAACACCATCTTGAATTGTTAATGATTGAATTTGAATAAGATCTTTTAAAAGACGTTTTTTAGCTGAATTACAATCGTCATTTGCTGAATAGATCATTAAAGATTTGATTTTGCTTTTTTTCAAAGAAAAAAAAATAGATAATTGATTTATGTTGCTATGTATTTTAGTTGAAATTGTTTTTGATCCGGATACCGGAAAACAAATATTAGTGTTGAAAAAAGAAATTTCAACAGCGCGTAAGAACTAGTTCTCTTTTCTTTTGTTTTTTTTCAAATTATCTTTTTCTTTTTTTAGCTCCTATTATTCAATCCGACATCACGATTGAAGATTTTGAATTGGTAACAGATGAAAGAACAGGTGAAACTGTATTAAGATTAAAAGCTGATGTAGCAGCTCGAAAAGGATTAACTAGTCTAGCAAAAACAAATTTTGAAGTTGTTGTTGATCCAACAACAGGTCAAACAATCATACGTATAAAAGATGATGGAACAAATCAAATGAATGGTAATCGAATTGAAATTGTAACTGATGCAATAACAGGTAAACAAACAATTCGAATGATTGCTGAGGATGATAATGATGAATCAAATGAGCGTAAGTTTTATTTTGATTGATTTTCAATTAAAATATGTTTTTTGTTATTATTTTATTATTTGACTATGTGAAGCTATTGTTACAGTAACAGAAAATGATATTGATTTAAATGATTTTGAACATGTGATTGATCCTTTAACTGGTCGAAAAATATTACGAATGAAAGCTGATGTACTTAAAGCTAAAGGTTTAGAAGAATTAGCAAATGCTGAATTTGAAATAGTTGTTGATGCTGTTACGGGTCAATCGACAATAGTTCTTAAAACTCCATCATCAGATTTTAGTAGTGGAACAAATACTAATTTTGAAATTGTTGTTGATATTGCTACAGGCAAACAAAAAATAATTAAACGAACAATTACAGAACAAGAAAAAGGTAAAATTATTAAAAGAATTATTTCATTAATGAAAAAGAAATTTAATAATGAATATGATTAATAGATAATGTAGATATTATTGAAAGTCAATTAAATGTCGATGATTTTGAACGTGTTATTGATCCTGATACAGGTCTTGAAGTATTACGATTAAAAAAAGGTGCTGCTGCACGTAAAGGTCTAACTGATTTACTTGATGTGCAATTTGAAATGATTACGGATGCTGATGGAAAACAAACAATCGTTATTAAAGGTGGTGGAAAACAAGGCAATGCTGGTAGATATTTTTTTCCTAATTTTTATACCTGTACATAACGTAAAATTAGGATGGGTTTTATTTTTCATTGATTTATATATGGTTTGATAGAGCTAGTTAAAATTACTTTTGTTTTCAAAATAATTCTCAAGTTTCTATCATCTTTTCTTTTTAAGCTCATTAAAAATGATTTTTTTTTCCTAATTCACTATTAGATACTGATTAGAACAGATTATTTTCGTAGATTTAAAATAAAGAAGTCAAAAAAACTGCTTTTAATAATTCTAGGCTTATATATTGTGTTTGTCGACACATGTGTGTGCCTATCTAGTGTTTTTTTTATGACAGAAGATAAGATGAAATGTCCAATCTCATTTAAATCATCTGGCTTCGAGCAAGAAAAGTATTCTTTTAGTTTTTTAGAGTTCCTTTTGTTGTTAGAACGATCGAATGTGTCCGTGTTTTCAATAGTAAAAGGACAAGAAATGCCTAGTTTATCGTAGTTTTCAATATCAAAACTTAGTTGAAAAAAAAATAGACAACATATTCACAATCAATGAGAAAATCGACACCGGGTCACATATATTTCAACAAAATCATTGTTCTACAGAGAAACGTAGTTGTTCTCTCCTCAGTATTTTGCTTCCTAAATTTCGCTCACTGTGCTGTTTGGAGTCGATTTTCTGTTTGACACAGAGCTTGTTGAAACGTATATGGCTCAGTGTAGATTTTTATACTAATTTTGAAAATGCTGTTTATTTTGTTTTTCAACGGAGTTCATGTAATAGAACCTGCAATAAATAGGGCTTTTTTTTCATCTTATTATTAAAAACGAAGAAATGTTGGATTTTATCAACAATAAAACAAAATCGAAAAGAAACAAAATGAGTATTTTAATAGCTCGAAATTAACTGATTTAAATGAGATCAGACATTTGATCTAATTTTCTGTCACACAATACCAAATAGGGTTATAAATGTGTCTATCAACACATTTAATAAGTCTACATTCATTAACAGTGTATTTTTCGCATGATTTATTTTAAATCTACGCGAATAATATTTTTCCACTTGGTTTCTAATCCTGAGTTCGAAAAAGAAAACTATTGAAAAATTATATAAACTGAAGAGTTGTTTAAAAAAAAAAGTAATTAAGGTTACATTGGTAATGTTATCAGTACTTGGATCTCTTTCCAAATACAATCCACTCTAATTTTGTGTTATCTGCGCCTCGTCTTTCTCAATATGTAATATATTTCGTTTTTTTTCTTTTCATAGGTGATGCGAAATTTGAATTAATTACTGATGCATCAGGTCGAACAACAATTAAAGTTAAAAAAGAACGACCCCCAACACGTATGAAAAATGAATACTGATATTTCAATTTGATCGATTTATTTCTAAATATTCATATTCTAGCTGAATTAGAAGTGACTGAAAAACCAATTGATATAAATGATTTTGAAGAAGTTATTGATTCAAAAACAGGTATGAAAGTACTTAAATTAAAAGTTGACGTAGCTAAACGAGCTGGTATGATGGAATTACTTGATGCTCAATTTGAAACTTATATCGATGAGAAAACTGGCAAACAAGCTATTAGAGTTAAACAAACTGATGGTAGCAATGGACCAGATGGTAAAAATTAATCATCTATCATAATATTTATTATGTTTATTTGTGTTTTTTTTTCTCGTCAGATGTTAAATTCGAAATAGTTACTGATGCATCAGGTAAACAAGTACTTCGAATGGTTCAAGAAATTCCAAAGACGAGTAAATAAATAAAATAAAGCTTTTGTTTGAAAATCTATTTTTATCTTTATGATATTTAGTTGAAGTAACTAATGTTGATGTAAATGCTAATGATTTTGAAGAAGTTATTGATGCTAAAACTGGAAAGAAAGTTTTACGTATGAAAAAAGAAGTTGCTAAACGAAAAGGTTTTGTTGACATGGATAATGTTGATTTTGAATTTGTAATTGATCAAAAAACTGGACAACAAATTATACAAATAAAAGGTGGTACAGGAAAAATAACAAAAGGTAATACAACATTTGAAATGGTTATTGATCCTAAAACTGGTCAACAAACATTACGTATGAAACAAGAAGTTGACGTTAAGTGTAAGCAAACTACAATTGTTTATTCTGAGTTAATTTTTTTTTGTTTAGTTGAAACAATTGAAAATGATTTAGTTAATGAAGATTTTGAAGAATTTATTGATGAAGTAACTGGTGAACGTGTACTTAAATTAACAGCTGAAGCAGCAGCAAGAAAAGGTCTTACTGATTTATGTGATGTTGAATTTGAAATTTATAAAGATCCAACAACTGGTAAAGAACAAATACGAATGAAAGGTGGTAATCAAACAGGAAAATTAGAGGGTGATCAAAAATTTGAATTTTATATTGATAAAAAAACTGGTCTACCAAAAATAGTTCTTAAACGGCCAAAAGGACGAACACGTAGGATTCATTTATTTTTTTTCTATTCTTTCTTTTTCTTGAATTAGATTTTATTCTATGTTCTAGCTCC